CACAATTTTGATCCTCAGCAGAGGGGATGGCACCCCCGCTTCGGTAGCCCGACGACCTGCACGCGAAGTCGAGCACTTTACGGTAGAACAGTTTAACGAGGACCATTACCTCACATCCTAGATTCCTACTCAGACTGATCCAAGTGGTCACCCACCCGCACACTGACCGCAACCAGTGATGCTTGACTTCGGTGATCTGTTGGGAACCGTGTCTTAACGATCAGTCCACTGCGGGACAATATCTAGATTGAAAGAGCTGTGTGATATGCAAATTTTATTGCACGTATTGCATTTGAAATATTTTTATTTCCCTTCATTCTTCACGTGTGCCTGTTTTATTTTGCAGAACTGAAATGCGTGCACCTCTGGAGACCGGTGGTGCATTGACATTTGCATTGAATGTAATATTCAGCTGCGTTGGGATTCGTGTATGAGGCAACTTGTATACGCATATGCAATTGTGCGGAAAATTTAAGTACTAACTCTGAATAAGCTTATACTATGAGGAATACTTTTAATAGACAAAGCAAAAACAAAAGAATCGATTTTTTTAAACGAACTTTATGAATCGATTCTAAAAAAAGAATTGATTAAAATATCGATTCCTTCGTTTTTCGCACAACATTTTATTTCTATAAGCAATCAGTATAACTTATATGCAATCCTGCTACTACATTTTTCATAAAGTAGGGACTAAAATGTAAAGAGTGGTGAAAACTCATTTCATTTTTATTTATATGTAACTTATGTGTTCAGGAGGGCATCTGTGAATTTCAAGAATCAGGTATTCTTATCTTGTCTTGAGAGCCGGGTATCCCATCCATCAGGTATTTTTTTTATATTGAATTGGTTCTTTGTGGTCAGCGGTCAGTGTGGAAGCTAGAATCAAGTATTTGTTCGTACTAACTTATATCTAATTATTTAAATTACTTGTGTTTAGTGATAGACAAAATTCTCTGAATTTATTAAATTATTTCCACTAGGGATTACTAGACTTAAAGTGTTTCAAACGGAGTGTGTCCTATGGTGGTATATAAAAAATTATAGCAGAGATGGTTATAAACTTTAGTATCCATTTCGTGAGAACTTTTAGTTCATTTTAAAGGAGAGTGCAAAGCTGAACTAAAAGAGGTAAAGCTGAACTAAAGCTGAACTAATCAGGAATGGTTAAGACGGTAATACGAACCCCAGGTCACTTGGGGTGTAAATAGGAAAGAATAATAAACGGGATAATAAAGCAAAAACGATTAATAAATACTAGTGGGCTGCGCCCCCTGCTCGCTAACGCTCGCCAACCCCCGAAAATTGCTACGCAATCTTATATGGTTTGCTTCGCAAACCAAGCTCGCTTCGCTCGCTACTAACTTAGGTACATTGCAAATGCACAAAATTCTAAGAATTCAAAACAATCATTCAAATCCATATATATATAAACTTTTTTTTAAAAAAAAATTACATCTTTTTAGTAAATACTAAGTCATTAATTAAATTTGAACTCAAATAAATGACATGTAATTCGTAAACCTATTAGAAATGTGCTATAGTATAATTCGTGATATAAATCAAAAATCGTCAAATAAATTCGTAATATATAAATTCGTGAAAAAAAGCGCTTTCGACAAAATACTAAAATAGAGATCTATCGAGAAAGACTACTCACTTCTGTCCAGCTTAATAGTATGAGATTGCCCCAGCTGATGCTTTCTGGTTATTTCAGTTTCCGTTTTCAAAAGCGCTATATGTTGAGCCACCTCAACTAGATTTGGCATGAGACATTTTTAGCGGCAATCATTGGTCGATTAGCCGTGTAAGAGAAATAGTAACGTAAACAAAACAAAGCAAACGTTGCCACCGGTGGAAAAGAAATACAGCCAAAATTTAGAGAGTCCACGTAAAGAGAGTCCACAAAAATTTAGCCACGTAAGAGAATTATATATATTAGATATTAATAATTCTTCTAAAATTTAAATTAAGCTTATTTAACTAAATTCACTTACTTTGTTTTACTAAATTCGTTTTAATAATAACAGAAACTAAATTTAAACGAAACATTTAGTGATCACATCGTGAATATCGTTATTTTATTTTTGCTTATAATTTTGAATAAATTATAACCTGTACATTTTGACATGTTTTGCTTTTTTTAAATTTGAAGGCCAAAGTCACAATCGAGTAATTTTCTACGTAAACAATTTTTTTAAAGCACGAAATTCTTTTTCTTCTTTTAACTAACGATAAAAAACAGGGTATATCAGCTAAATCTGAAAAACAGTCTAATTTAATTAATAAGTTCTACAAATTTAATAACATTTAACATCCCACGCATATCTTATTTAGAAAAGATTTTAAAAACTACTACATATAAATAAGCTAAAAATGTAGATGAATATATGATGATATCGGATCAAAGAATATTGTTGACTTTTTTTTTGTTGCATTTCTTTAACTGTACTAATATATGCGATTTAGGCTTTAAACTTAATTCGCTTCAATTAGGATCCCTTCATCACTAATTTTTCATTACAAATAAGAACGAGTTAAAAAAAATTAAGATGAAAGACCTACGTTTTTCCTTTTTCCTACTTTTCCATTCAAAACTTTTTCATTTATATTAACAATTCGCTAAAAAATATCAGTCATAGGCTTCCCATAAAACAAAAAGTGACTAATAATATGATTGTTTTGCACTAATAATATATATTTTTCTTATAGTTGAAGCATTGTTAATTTATTTTATAATAAAATATAAATTATGTAAGACATTGGCATACGAAAAGATTTCTGTGCCCTTCTAAAAAGTATTAAGAAGCAATTTAATTGCATACATATGTTTCGGGTTTTATAAAAAGAGAATGAGCTTCTTGCATTAATGAATACTTGCATTGTGATGCAAACATTTATATTTTAATCAGTTCTCTGGAAATTATCATCCATTTAACAAACTATTAATTTTATTACATTTAGTTGTGGTCAAAAGCATTTAAATTAGATTTTTAAATGCGAAAAATAATTAAAAGAAACTTAAATGTTACTACCACTTTAAATATAAAAATTAAATTTTAATTAAAATTCACAAAAGTTAGTTTCAATAGCATCGGTTAAGTAAACATAAGCAATTATTTTATTAAGTCTTATACGGAAAATATGCTGGATATGTACAATACCAGCCGATTCGCCTTATACTGTTTTGTTCTATGCTCAAAAGTCATGAAGGAATAAGTTTACACTGGTACAAAATTATCGGGGGAGAACCCAAGGGTCAATAGTATATAAGAGTTAAAAAAACAGTGGTACTATCATTTGTAATATTTTGATATGATACAATCCGACATGAGGAATGCGGTTACTAGGCTATAATTAATGTTGTCGTCTATTAAGCTGATGTCTAGCAAATGATTGAAATTCGAGGCAGTACAGTTTCTAGCGTCGCTATAGAATTTACTGTTGAGTTTGGAAATGAAGCAGTTAATTTCTTCTATGTTCTTCCTTAGCAGTCAGTTGCTGATAGCTCTTGGGGCACCAGTCATGTATCTTAAAAATTTGCCTTCTGTGTACGACAATTTTTTCTTTAAATTATCACTGATAGCGGTTAGGGCGGGGCTAGCATAGGTAAGAATTGGTCGAATGGCTTGTAGGTATATTGTTCTTTTATTTGCGAGGTTTAGCTTTGAATTTTTATTTAAAAGTGCTTTTAGTGTGTAGTCAGCACCTCTGGCTTTTCTAATGGACTCATTGATGTGAGTACTCCAGCTAAGATTGTTCGAAATTGTAATGCCTAGTTCATACCTGCCAACTCTTCCGGATTTTCCGTAAGATTTTATTTTCATATTTAAAGTGGTAGCAATACTCATGTTATTCCAATTAATTTTTTGAATTATAATGATAATTATAAGTGAATTTGACCACCACTACATATAAATAATTACAATAAATATATAAAAGCATAATAATTCATGCACAAGCGAATTTCAACAGGATCAAAATATAAATATATTTTTGAGTCAAATTGTTTTTCGTTTATTGTTTTGCAACCACTCTGAAAATCCATTCTCGGAAAGCTTGAAAGTTGGCAGGTATGCTAGATACTTAACTTGTTTAACTGGGGTGATTTTAGTGTTAAATAATTCGATCGTTGGTATACGGAAAATATATGTACTTGCTAAATTTTATGTTATTAAAAGTAACTTATATCTAGTGGTAGTAAAATGAAATTTGTGAATAAAAACATATATACCAACTTTCCTGCTTTGTAATAAAATATTTTCTAGTGCTAACTAATTGAAAGTTATTTTTTGCTTAGTATTTTCAGTAAGTAATTTTTTGCACCCCTTTTTATCAAAAATTAAAAGTATTAAATAAAATGCAACTTCATTTCAAGTGACTCTTTTGAAGACTGGGCGTAATTATCCTTATTCTACAAATTTCATTCTTTTTAAAAATTCGCTACCAATTTATCAAACCGTCCGATTATCCGATTTAACGTTTACAGAAAGCGGAGCAGTTGGCACCTCTGTAGACATTGTAAGCAGACTTTATATTTAGCCAACGAGGAGTAGCAGACCTTCAATATATAATTTAAATTATTAAAACGAAAATCCTTTTTTAATCAAATTTATTAAAACAAGAATGGAGTACAGGGCTGAAAGACCGAATATATCAAGACGGAAAAGTTTAAAAACTGGTAACAAATAAATTTCATTTTTAGCTTTTTTCGGGAGTAAAAAAATTTCCATAGCTACCAAATAATTTTAAAGATACAATGCATATATTAAATTGATTCTTCCCCGAAGAAAATTAATATCAATAAATTGTTTATTGTTAAGAATGGATTTACTTCTCCGACAAAAATAATCCATTATGGAAATAATTCTGCTACCAGTTTTTTTTTCTTTTCCGTGTCGCTTTCAGGCCTAGATCAGTTGTGTAATTAATATCTTCTAGAAGCGTTCGCAAATATATATAGAGTTATTTTACTTATGAAAGAATAGGGAAGAACTTACTTCCTGGATTTTGGTGTGAAACATTGGAAAGTGCGTCATGTCCTGCCGGGTTATTTGAAATGGATTTGGTGGCTTCATTATGGATGCTTATAGTGGAAATCTGTTGCTTGACATCCTGTGGCATATGGCACTTCCACGATCGTGACCAGGGTGATGTTATGGGAATGATGACGGCCGTGTCGCGAGCCATTTGAGAGTTAATATGTAAAAACACTAATTTAAAATTAACTCAGAGGAAATATACTCTCAAGAATTGAACAGTCTTTGAAATTGAAAACACCAAACGTTATATTGAAATTGATGGGAGGGCATACCGGTAGACAGAATAATATCGGAACAGCAGAGTCAAAGACAAACTTTCTTTTTTCCAATCGAATTGATGTTTTTGTTTTCTTTAAAGAATGTTTTATGCACTCGAGCAAAAATAACGATCGGATTGTTTACGGGGAACTAAAAAATCACGATTCGAATCTCCCGATTCGAAATTAATGACAAACAGATCAATGCAAACATTTAACGTATTATTAAAAATATTTCTCTCGGGATGGTTATTATATCATAATGCCAGTTGATACACCTGGAACAGTTCTTAACTTAAATGTTATTAAGATAGAAATAATTTTTCGATTTAATAAATAATAAAAATGTCGTAAAGTACGTGACGTAATGCTAGACCTTGAAATTAGGAATATACTTATTTGCAAAAGTCTTTGGCCGAACACAATTTACATAAAATGATTTTCAAATTTAATGCAATAAAAAATGAATTGTTCTGTAAATTTATGCAAAAAAAAGTTTTCTCATTTTTTTCTGAAATTGTTTTTTTCTGCTAGGAGTGTGTATTTAGGGATCATCGTAAAATTAAAATTTGCTGTTTGTTAAATTAACAAAAGACCTTTAAAGGTAAAAATTTAGAAATTTTCTTATTTTAAACTGATATGATTTCTTATTAAATTTTATAACTGATTTTAAAATCTATCACAATATAGATGAGTTTCTTTCGATACATTCTGCAAATTTGAGAAAAAATGTGTAACTATCATAATCAGATTATCTCTTCTGTCGCAAACCATAAGAGAAATTATTTAATTTTTAATCTGCAAGAGTATAATAGGAATACAAATCGGCAGAAAGATCAGTTTTTGATCAACTTCAGAATAATTTAAGGAGAAAAAAAACAACACTTCAAGTGCATTTTTTCTTCTTCTCAAAAATATGTTTTTACCGAATCATTCATCCGCGAGACAAAATGTTTTGTAACTGTTAAACAATCAAAACAATCTTCAGCCATTTTTTTAAATCATGACAAAAAGCTTGTGTGAAACTTTGAAGAAAATTAATAAAAAATTAAGATACACGGAGGACAACAAAGAACGAAAATAAAAAAGTATTTCATAAGGATAAAAATCTAATTCTTGTGTGAATAAGGCAAAATTTGTAAGATTGTTATTAGTACCTTTAAAAATATTTTTATTGATAAAAATGTCTATACCAAGTCGCGAACAGAAATTGTCTTTTACGTTTGAGACAAAAGTAATTTCCTGATAATCTGATGATATTTGTATATTTATTTAATAATTTAGTCATAATCACAAAAAATTTATTGTTAAAATAACATAATATAATAATAACTTATTATTAAAACAATTTATAAATAAAATAATTTAATTAAAAGTATTACAAAACTTATTATTTTATGTATAGATTATGATATGTTCCTGAACAATATATTTTTTTGCAGTAAGAATATAATATATGTTTGATTAACATATTTTTTGAGAGTAACAATATATTTTACGTCTGTTCGATTACAATTAATCTATAAAAAAAGTTTTCTAAAATGAATATTTTCCAGTTGTTCACGCAATTTAAATTATAGTTAGTACGCTGCAACATAAAACTTTTTTTTAAACAAAAAAATAATTCCTTAAACTTATTTACCTTTGCTGAAGGTTATACAAAATGCCGAAATTGGATGTTTAAGCCATAATTATCAGGAGTTCAGTTTTAGCAACTATTATAAATATTTTCTCGGAAATTATTTTTCAAGTAATTTTAACAGAGTTATTTTTCTTTTAAATTTTCGTAAAGCTTTAACGAATTTCGCAAATGGGTAGAAAATTGCAGTTATCATGTAGTAACGGGTTCGAGTAACTCGCTGGAGACAATGCCGAAAAAGGACAAAGAGAAAAATAACATTTATTCATTAGTCAGAGTTGGAACTCACCCGGAAAAAGTTAAAATTCTGCTAGTAAGAATATATTTTTTTAAGAAAAATTAATTACGCGTGACTCCTACTTTTTATTTCTGATTTTACGTACGTCTGAAATTTATTTTAAGTAAAAGGTATAAATGGAATATTCATTTTATCCGTATTTCATTTTTTTAATTGACTACACTGGGACCGATTTCTACTAAAAACCTAATAAATTGAATTTATTAAACCAAGAATCACGCATTAATAGACTACCACTCGAAAATATTAATTTGCTGTCCGGATCAAGTTGGCATATCTGACTTAATACGCCAAAACGCTATAAAGTTGCTACCACTAAGAAATTTTTTTCTCAAAGGCCGTGCAAGTTGGCAGCTGTAGGTGTAACTGTAAAAAGTGACAAATTGAAAGCGAAAGATTTTTTCTAAAAGAAATTAAAATTAGCAAATTTTTCTCGCCTTTTTCCTTCGGTTTACTACTGAAAATGAACGGTTCGTTCGTTCGTGTTATGGAACTGGGCGTCTGAGGCCTTACGGCCCTTTTGTAAATGAAGGGAGTCCTAGTGTTTTGATTTTATTGGGCACTTGGGCCGCGAAGCGGCCCCTATCCCATTCATCTGGAATTTTTGAACAGTTTTGGTTGAGCAATGAGGTAAGCAGGCAATGGAGTTGCTTTTATGAATGTTTCAAGCTCTTTGCTTGAATAACTAAAAAGGAATCAAAAATAAATTGAGCAGCTTGCTCTAAACTGTGTTTGTTTGATTTTGGAGTTGTTCAGAATTGTATCAGCATGAGTAAACGTTATTTTCAGAAAGGTTGATGAAATTATTTGTTTTGATAGTTATGATATGAGGCGTCGGAGGTGAAATGTGCAGCTATTGGTCTGTAGTTTTTATCTTTGATATAAT